AGGGTAAGGCCACAGTTCTGCATGCAGACTGCCATCAGCTTCCCTGGAATTTTGAAGCTGCTTACCCATGGTCTTGCTTTCTAAGGGTGAAGAAGATAGCAGCACCTTCCGTCCTCCCAGTCACAGGACGGTCAGGCCGTATATTCTCCCAAGGACATCTCTGCTGCCAGGAGCAGGTTTGTCTGTCTCCAGGAGACAGCGGTTGTCAAACCCCCAGAGAACAGCAAGCCTGTCGAAAATAGCAGTGCTAGCAGACTGCGTGGCTGCAATTTCCTTTTGAAATGTTGACTTTGCCATTTTCACCAAAGGGTCCAGGACTGAATGCAGTTCATGCAGCCAGCAGCAGACTGCTCTTAAACATCCCAGGATGTTTTCTAAGGGCAGGCGTCTGCACAGAGGAGTCTAAAAGGGGTGTGAACTTGCAAATCTTGCAGTTTAAACGCATGGGTCTGTGGACTTGCTAAGGAAAATTCTCTCTGCAGTATCAGTGATGAGGTTACAGTTGTATTTAAAAAGAAAATGTTATAAACCTGAGTAGGGCTAGGCCCCAAAGAGGTCAAGATTAGACCAGCATTAACATTGCATTTCTGTCTAATAGGCTTCTTCCCCCCCTCCCCCATATTCTGTGAATGAGTCAGTATCCTGAAGAGAAGACCCTCAACACTGGTGGAGAGCTGGCAGGGCCAATGTGTAAACAAGGGCATGAGAACAAAGAAGGGACAGAGAGGGTAGGAGAACCACTCTCCAGCTCAGAGTAAAGAAAGATGAAAGCATCCCAGTCTCCAACCCCATGAGGCCCTCAAGCCCAGAGCAGGAACGTGACAGCATGAGAAACAGGCTTCCATCTGTCCTCATCCCAGTGGCCCGTGTCTGGCAATATGTGTCCTCGCTCCGAAGTCCTGTGCTCCAGGCCTCATCTGGCTAGGAGGCGTCTGTGCAGAGGAGTCTAAAGGGGACAAGGGCTGTGAATCCTTCAGTGGAATGCACGGATTTCTCTTTCTCCCGTAAGTGACCGTGACACATCAGAAGGAGGAGGACACACTTCCCGTCCTCGGGCAATAGCGCACAGTCAAGACCAATCAGAGTCAGACAGCAGCTCTAGTCACACGGTCCAGGGAGTATGACATCTCCTGGGAAGCTTTCCTGGCATCCACGTAGAGATGCAAGGTGAGAGAAAGAGTGCCGCCAGCAAAGCCCTGGGTGGGGCTGTGTGCAGAAGGCAGGCAATGGGATTGGGGGTGTCACGTGGAGAGAAAACCCCAAAGGAAGGAGGTCAGGGCTCTGAGGGCACCAGGCAATACAAGGAGGTTAGTTCCAAGGTCTAGCGACCATATGAAAAGTATGATAAACTCCACCCACGCCAATTTAAGCCAAACCCTAGAGGATTGCCAGCCCCCATCACACAGGGCTATTGAGGGTTAGTGGAAGATGGTGAAAAATAACTAATCTTAGCTCTTGATGCTTGTAGATGCACGGATTTCATGGTTTGGGGGCTTTGTGGGGTTGCTTTGCTTTGGAACGAAGTACAAACTCCTTGAGCAAGTCCTTGACCCTACTCCTGTATACCACAACACATGCAGTGTCTGATCCCCAAGAGAATGGCCTGTTGGGTCTCCAGAGAAATGCTAAGCATGTAAATCTCATGAAAGCTTGACAGTTAAAATAAAACACCGCAACACACACAACATACACTTACACACACTCCACACATACCACATACACACCACAAACATACACATACCACACATGATACTCATATACCACACACATATATACACACACTACACACATAGCCACAGACACCCCACACACATACACATACACTTCACACCACACACACACACACTAGATATATACTCCACAGATACCCCAAGACACCACACACACAAAACACATACATACTACACATATAGCACACATACCACAGAAACACAAGCACACACCACACACTACACACACGCAAACTCAACACAGACACTCCACAGAGACCCCACAGACACACACATATATACCACACACATACTCCCCACAGACACACACACCATACAGAGACTCCACAGACACCACACACACAAAACATACATATATCTTACAGAGACCTCACAGACATACAACATCACACAGATATCCTACACACATACACACACATACACACAACAGACAAACATATACCTCTTACACCACAGACACACACACACCTCACAGAGACCCCATAGACACTACACTCACACACGTACCATATATACACCATAAAGAAACATACATCTCACACACCACAGACACACACATACTATACACACACACACCCCACAGAGACCATACAGACACAATACACACACATATACACACACCACATACCACACAAACAACTCACACATACCATAAGTACACGCATATATACATACCACACAGCACATACACACGTACCACACACCTCACAAACACTACATGCACACACCCCTTGCCTCCTACTCCCCACAGAGCCTTCATAGTAACCTTACACACACACATACCACACATTACACATACCACAGAGACACATATACACACCCCATAGAGACCCCATGAATACCACATACACATATACCACACATAACACATACATCATATGCACACACACACACCACACCACAGACACATGCCGTACACCCTACAGCACCCTCAAAGACACCAGACACACATGCACACACACACACACACACACACACACACACACACACATACACACATACATACACACACACACACACACACACACACACACAAACCACTTCTTGGTATTTTGTGACAGCTTCAAAGAGCAGCTACAGGAAAACTAAAGTTGCAGAAGAAAAAGTCTGACACAGATAATCCGCATGGTCCATCCTTTTGCGTTATAAAACCAGACCCTGTACCAGCCCATGAGAAGACAGGGTCATTAGGCTCCTGTCTCCCTCACCCGAACCATAGGACTTTCAGCACATCTGGTTTAGAACAGTCCTGTCACCCTCAAAAGTTCTCTGGTGCCAGTTTAACAGCCTATGTAGAACCCTGTGTGTTCTGATGAGCCACCAGGACATCTTGAGGCAGATGGGGCTTCACCCTAAGCCCCGGGGAGGGGCAGTCTATGCCCTCGCCCGATGGTCTAGTCAGTGAATCTCAGTCTTTCACATCAAGAAATATCCCCTGTATTCTACATCACTGAGAATGGTGTCTTTCCTCTTGCTCTGCCTTGGGGACACAAGAAGCCAGTCAGAGGCTGAGCGAGCCTTCAGTGAGTACTGAGTAGTTATCAGATCTGTCTTGCGTCCTCCTGGCTGCTCCAGTTTTCTCTGCTCCACCATTATTACTGTTTCCTTGACTCCAGCATCTCTGCAAAGCTCCTAAGGTTGGAGGATCCTCAGAATGGCATATTCCATGCTAAATGGACGAGTATCTGAGACTCTGGCTAGTTATCTAGATAGCATCATCTCTATTTCTGTCTCTTCTTCACATCCGTTCCTCTCTGCCACCTTTCCTCTTTTCTCTGAGCATTGTCATGCTCAAGAAATTTCTAGAAGACATTTTACTAACCCCATGATCTCATCTTATTGTGTAAGTGAAGCTCCTCCAGGAACAGAATATATGCAAAGGAAATATGGTACCAGGGAAACAGGGAACCTTCTTAGCAAATTCCTGACCACAGCTGTCCTATAGTTCAAAGCATGGCTCTCACAGAAATGCCAAAAAGGCTCTCAAAAGCTAAAAATGATGGAGCGAGGGAGAGAGAAAGATAGAAATACATGGAAGGAAGACCTGTTTAAGTGGGATGAGGGTGGTGCAGAAAAAATAGAATTGGGGAAGAAGAAATATATAAAGTAATAAGGAGAGGAGGATGCAGAGAAGAGATGGGGAAATGAGAGAGGAGAAAGGAAAGGACAGAAACATGAAGACAAGAGAGAACCTCACAACAATAAAGACAGACAGCAAACCCCTGCTTCACCAGATGCTGAGCCCATCTCCCCCTACCACTCTGTCGGAGCTGAAATACCTTTCCTGGGGCACCTACCTCGGGTTCAAAGAAGGCCAGCTGTTCCTTGCTCCTCTGGGATGCTAAGCAGGAGGAGTGTCCTCATCCCAAGCAGAAACTGGCAGTCCCAAGAAGTCCTCTGGGAGCCCCCACTGGTTTAAGTCGGTTGTTAGGATAGCTTGAACCCACCTTCTTGGGCAACTGTGATCCTATTCCAGCTGTTGAGACAGCACACGGTGCATATTCTCTTGATGCCAAGGTTGCAAAGTCCACCGTGGAGGCTCGGAAGCAGGGAGGGATCACTGGATAAAATTCTCCGCAAAAAATGAGACTGAGTCGCTGTCTGCCTCTCAGCTTCTGCATGATATCCTAAGAGTCACCTCAGAGCTTCTTGTCAGATGCAACATTGCTCCCTGTGAGGAAAGGATTCCTCTTGGTCTCTCTTAGAGCTGGGAAAAGCCTGCATCTAAGACGAGAATGTCACGCTACCTCAGACTGGTGTCATCCATGTCCTCAAGGCCCAGCCTGGCTGCTGTGGAAGGGACATTTTGTACCCCGCCTCTGAGGTCGCCTTTAGAAAGCCTTAGCATTGCTGCGGACTTCACTGGGCAGTTTTTAAGCATTCAAGTTTCTGAAGACTCGGGCGTAAGATGTGGCAGCATCAGAGACCAGGTATGGAAGCAGAATAAAAGGTCCAGGCAGGAGGTGTTGAGAACCTACTTCCTCCACATTTCCACGAGGTCCCAAATCCTTGTCTTAATTCCACCAATGCCTAAACCAATAAAAAGGAGGTGCTCCCATCTGAGAAGCTGGGATGTGTAGTCTGTTTTCCCTTGATACCCAAATCAGTAGAGAGAACAGTCTGGAAGGTTGCTACGGCAACCAGAGTCCCTGGAGAGCCTGGCTTTCCACAAACCTTTTACTTTCAGGCATGCTCTGACTTGAAAAGGCAATGTTTGCGTAAGGACAAGGACAGTGACGAGGGTAATGATACATACACAGAGGTCCATGCACACATGTCCCCATGATCACCCTCAGCTGGGGCATCCCTTTGGCCACTGGGGTGGGCTCGGGAGTCACTGAAGAGGACGGACACAAAAAGCACTTTCTTACTGGCTTTGGGATAGGTCTCTGAGTCTTAACTATCTCTGTCTTTTACTATGTTCCTGGCTCGGAGAAGTCAATCTCCCAGGTAAAGTGACCTCCAGCCACAAAGTCTATCACAAGAATACATTCCATTCTGAAGGGTAAGAGAAAGGAAGGAGGCACAGCCCAAAGGGCCAAGGAGAGACTTAGAGATCTAACAGTGACAGTGGCCTAGTCATAGGCTTTGAATTCAAGGTGGAAACTGTGAGAGACAGGAAGGCAGGATAATGACCTAAAACTCGAATCCATGACTATAATTCACACATTTGCATAGTATCTTCCCCACCTTCCTGGGTGAGCTTATTGATATTCCCCATGAGGTAGGGAGGGGAAGACATTAATGTTCTCATTTAACGGATGGGGAAACTGAGGCACAAAGAGGGACTCTGACACCAAAGCTACCCTGTAAAGCTGTGGCAAAGCTGAGACTGTGGTCTGTCACTGACTGGAGTCACAGTGCCTCTCAAGCCAATCCCCAAGGTCAGGCCCTAGTATGATGCTCTTCGAGAAAATCTTTTTTAGAAAAAAAGCATTCCCTTCAAAGAGTCTTAAAGCATTAATATAAAACTGAAAGCATGGTAACAGTCCTTTGGGGTTAGGAACTGTGCTCATGAGAACTGAGAACAGTACATCACAGTTTATCAAAGGCAAAACTGAAGGGCAATGCTACTTGGAGAGGCAGGCAGTGGGTGGCTGGGAGTGGGAGAAGATGGCTTGGTCCCAGTGGGAACCTCAGCAGTTAGAGCAGGCCAAATGCTGCTCCCCAGGAAGAGCAGACAAACATTTGCTTGACTCAGCAAAATCCTCTAAGAGTGAGGCTGGCAACAACATGACCGTGCGCCTGTTCCTGGCTCCAAATCAACTGTTGTTGCCCATGGCGGGGGAGGACAGCTATGCTGGCATTCAATATGTGAACTCACCTGTCTGCAGGTTATAGCTGAGGTTGTTTTATTTAAAAAAAAATCATCTGCAATCCTAGGTCAGATTCCCAGGAAGAAGGGTGAAGGGGACATTAGACAGGTCTGGACTAACTAGGGAGAATTGGAGGCTCTCTGCAGCGGAGTCCCCTCTGCCTGTTTAAGGTGACAGTCTCTGCTAAGTGGCACCTCGCTTCAGATATGTGGTACAGCCAATCACTTGGCTCTGGTCAGCCTTCTCTCCTGGCTCTGTAGTTCCTTTTTCCAGTTCCTCTGCCCACAAAGACGTTTGCACAAAGATTTGGCTCTGAGAAGGAGCCTTCCTGGAAGCTCTAGGGAGCCGGAGAATCGGAGCAGGAGGACTTAGGTGGACCACAGCCAGCGTCTCCTGTGCCAAATCATTCCTAGAGGAATCCACCGGCCCCCTTGGTCTAGAACTGACCCTCACGTCCTTCAAAGAATCCAGCTGGGTACTATTTTCTCTAATTCCATCCAAATTTAGGCATGAATAACTTTCAAAACTGCGGCTAACAGCTCTACCAGCCGGAAGATGGACAGGGCTCAGAGCTAAGGCAGCAAGTTGAATTCTTTTCCATTCTCCAGATTCTGTCAGTGATCAGTGACCAGAAGCTAAGAAGGATGCACAACCCAAAGCAAAGAACACTAGAGAAGGGACCCGAGTGTAGCTGCTTTCTATTCTATTGACGTCACCATTCCTAGTGGTATCACAAGACCCAGGCATGAAAATTCAGTCTCGAAGGAAGGTCAGGCAGAAATGTGTATCTCATCCACTTGACAGATGGGTATGATTGGGCGGCACCGTTGAAATTTTCGAAATGTCACTAAGATGGAGAAACCTCGAATGCTGTGAGGATCGAGCAACAGTCTACAGTCCAGGTTTTTGGTCCAGGATGCCATGTACTGGGTACGGGGGGGAGGGGATTCGAGGTCCTCGGGAACTATGGCGGGAGTAGTGAGCATGTGAAGGAAGCCTGAGAGATGGCTTGCTCAGAGCTCCCGTGTTCCTGCAGGCCCTGCCTGCATCTGTCAAACCTCGGTGAGCATTCTTTTCTCCGCATAAGCTCGATGTGGAGTTGGAAGGTAGCTAGGCCGCCTTTCTCGTGAAGCCTCGGAAAAGTCAGGCTTGCCAAGCCCATTGTCCGTTGCCTTCAGGTCTGGGGTAGGCTGCCCACAGGTGACGTGAGTGTATTGGCCTTGCTCCTCCTGCTCCGTCTCTCGGTGGTAGAAGTAGTTGAAATTGGAGACAATGACTGGTACCGGTAGTGCAATGGTAAGGACCCCAGCAATCGCACAGAGTGAACCCACGATCTTGCCCCCCACTGTCATGGGGTACATGTCCCCATAACCTACCGTGGTCATTGTCACCACAGCCCACCAAAAGGCATCTGGGATGCTAGGGAAGAGCGAGTCATCATCATCCGCCTCTGCGAAGTAGACGGCGCTGGAGAAGAGGATGACTCCGATGAAGAGGAAGAAGATGAGCAGCCCGAGCTCCCTCATGGATGCCTGCAAGGTCTTACCCAGGATCTGCAGCCCCTTGGAATGGCGGGAAAGCTTGAAGATGCGGAACACTCGGACCAGGCGGATCACTCTGAGGATGGCTAGGGACATGGCCTGCTGCCCGTTTTGGCCACTGCCACCACTCATGGACTGCTGCTCGTGTCGTTGCACTAGCTCGGTGCCCAGGGTGATAAAGTAGGGGAAGATGGCCACCAAGTCAATGATATTCATGATATTGCGAAAGAAGGCTGCCTTGCTGGGAGAGGCAGAAAAGCGCACCAGGAGCTCAAAGGTGAACCAGACGATACACAAAGTTTCCACCAGAAAGAAGGGGTCAGTAAAGAAGGAACCCCCAAGAGTACTGAATGAGGACGTTGCCCCGGTCCCCAACCCTCCAGGAGGAATGCCACCAGGAAATGCATAAGAATCCTCATCCTCCTCTTCTTCCTCGTGGCTCCCCCTGGAGGCCGGGGACAAGCGAGTCCCACTACCCTCGTTGCTTCCACCACGCCCATCTGCTCGGAACTGGGGCAAGGTCTCCAGGCAAAAGATGACGATCGAGATGAGAATGACCAACACGGAGACGATGGCAATGCCTCGGGCGGGCCCAGAACTCTCTGGGTACTCAAAGAGGAGCCAGACCTGGCGCTGGAAGGGCTGGGAGGGGAGTGGTTTCTCATCCTCGCCACCTTCAGGCAGGCAGCCCTCATCCTCCCGGAAAGCCGCCAGAGCTTCGTCCCCCAGCTGATAGAAGCGGATCTCTTCCATAAAGATGTCCAGGGGCACGTTGACCGGCCTGCGCAGGCGGCCCCCGGATTGATAGTAGTAGAGAATAGCATCGAAGCTGGGTCGGTTGCGGTCAAAGAAGTACTCGTTCCTCAGGGGGTCGAAGAAGCGGACTCTGCGGCCAGGGTCTCCCAGAAGCGTGTCAGGGAACAGGGACAGGGTGCGCAGCTGCGTCTCAAAGCGCAGCCCGGAGATGTTGATCACCAGCCTCTCGCTACTACAGCAGCCGCCGCCGCCCGCGGCCTCCGGGAACTCTCCGGCATCCTGTTGCTCCCCCTCCGGCCCACGGACCTCCCCCGGCGCCGCCAGCGTCAGGGATTTCTCCGATCTCATGTCCCCTTGGCAGTGCGCTCCCCGCCACTAGGACGGCGCCCACGACACTAGCTCCGGAGCGCGGTACCCGTTTCCCAGCTCCGGCTGCGCCCTCCTTTAGGGTGGGGCCCGCGCTCTGACCTGGCGGTTAGGTCGGTGAAACCTGCAGCTGGTCCCTCTGCCAGGCTAGGTCAGGGATGTGGCTCTGGTTCCCAATAGCCGCGCCTCCGTGCTCAAGATTACTGGGATGCCTGGAACCCGCAAACTGTCGCGCGCGTGAAACTGGCTGCCGGAAAAGACGCGTGGCTTAGCTCCCGCTGGTGACTTAATCTGGGCTCTGGGACCCACGGGTCCGCCCTCCAGACCCACTGTCTCTGTCCGGGTCCCGCTGTTCTTTTCCAGCCTTACAAGACCCTGGGTTGCCGCTGGTACTGAAGCGCCAGATGCGCCTCCCTCCGGCTCACCAAAGACTCCTGCCCGGGCTCGGCCTCCGCCTCCGCCCTATGTCCACCACCGAACTAGGTCTGGCCAAGGTCGCGGTTCCAACCGCCACCTTCTTCCCAGGAGCTGTTCCACAGGCCTCGGGACTACCCTAAGGCTGCCCCAGCGCCGGAGCGCAGGGACCCACCTCCCACCGCTTCAAGCCTTGGCTACACCCGTAGCAGCGACAGCAGCAGCAGCAACAGCAGCAACAGCAGCAGCAGCAGCAGCAGCAGCAGCAACAACAGCAGCAGCAGCAGCAACAGCAGTAGGCTCAGCTCTCCGCTCTGCCCTTCCTCCCCAACACTCTCCAAGTGACGTGGCAGGCCACGCCTGCTGCCCCCTCCCACCCCACTCTCACATCACACCCCTTACCCAGCCAGGGGCTGCAGCAAGCCTGGATGCTGTGGAATGATGTGTACATTTGCCTCCCCAGCAATCTTTCCCGCGCTCTCCTAGCGCGCCTCTTGCTTTCTCACATCCACACGCACACCACCACCCCCACCCCAACCACACTGCAGCATCCTAATTACACACCCCCTGCATCCTTCGCATCTCTTCTCACTTCTGTTCACCGCGCTGACCTGCGCGCAGTGTATTTCCTCAAGAAAGAAATCACACCCTGGCCCAACCCACCCCTCCCCATGCATAGCATCTGACTCCCCTCAACAGCTATTTAATGAGCGGATGGGGATTCCATGTTTTCTATATCCATGAAGACACATTTGCCAATTTCAATCTCTACTGGGAGTGGGGGAAATGAAATATTTTTAAGTATCTTGAGAGCTTTCCTTTTAGGCTGTGTCCCAATGTTAATTTCCCCCATAGACTCACTTTTGCAACCTGGAAGGGTGGGGCTGCAACTCTCTTCATGGCATAGGAATAGTAACAGGGGAGAGAAAGCCTACCCGTGCCCAGTGAGTGGGTAACCCACTCATAGAATTCTGGGAACACCTGCCATTAGCTCCCATGAACCAGAAGATCATAGTATTAAAGGCACACAAAACACAGGGAATTGCAGGCCAAAATCTTCGCTCCAAGCCCCCCTGGGGGAAAATAGAATTCTACAATTTATATTTATTTTTGTCAAGAAAGGGGAGGAGAATAACTGGAAAGGGGGTACAACAAAATGTGAATAAAAAAAACTATAGCTATGTTCAATGAGTATCTAATAGACACACATTGTAGGTGCTTCACCAGAAAGCTAGCCTCTACCTCTAGGCCATGGTACAGTGGAGACTCATTTGGCAAGATCTGGATGGAGCAAAATAAGTTAGGAGGGAACCCATGCCTCTTGCTCTGACTTTCCTTGAGTGCCAGAAAGGTTTCCCACCCAATCTAAAGGCTTTAGACTGTTTCCTGCCTAGATCGCAGGGATGGAGATGCCAGAGACTGCCCTGTACAGGTAGCTTGGCCTTGACTTCCCTGTGGTCAGAGTGGATTGGTTGGCAGTGGCCAGCATTTCTGTGTAGCTGCTTCTTCATAAGGACGAGCTTCAGAAGGCTAGGGGTGGGAATGGCACATAAAGATTCTCTCCAGCCACAGGATGCATGTGTGGGTTCTTCGCCGTATGATACACACAGACTGTTTTAAAAGCCACAGCAGTTGGCACAGCAGGCCCTCCCAGAGGGATGAGGCAGAGGAGGAAACCAGAGCGCCTGGACCTGTATGAAGGAAATCAAGTGGGGGGAGTTAGAAAAGAGGCTGGCTTCAACACGCCTGCATCTTGTGCTCTGCTGTGCCCCTCCCCAGGCTGACCAGACAGCAGCCTCTCCTTCCCTTATGCTTGGTCTCCCCTTCCCTTGCGCAGCTCCGTGAAGGGTGAGGGATCAAGAGCACGGCATTTACCCACTCAATAGTTTTCCCATTTACAGGCTATGTAATTAAGCAATTTAGGCTTCACACAAAAGTTACTCCATTCAAAGAAGAAAAAGAAATAAGATAAAACAACAAATAGCATGTAGGAGATACACTGTCTTGTCCTGCGTGCAGAGATTATTTCCTGGGTGTACATTCACTCGCCCATAATTCTTTGGGCTTTGTTTTCTAAATCTTATCACGAATTGTTCAATTGTATGTTTGCTGTTCTTATGATCACATTCCCCCATGTTGTTGTCCATGAGATTAATAACATCCAAACAGAGCTATGAGAAGCTGCATTCTTCTAGAGGATGCATCAGGGTCTAGCGTGATGGTGGACTGCCCCGCGCTACCGTCTCGCCCGCAAGAACGACGCGGGACACTTAGGATTCTTCTGCAGTAAAGCTTTATGCGTCTTGAGAGGGAGAGCATAAGCTTACATGGCGGAGACCCAGAATGAGGGAAACCCAGCCCTTATAAAGGAAACAGTCCTCGCTTCTGACGTGTCACTCTTGGATTGGTCCACTGCCCATTATCCCAGATGATGCCTCGGGAGTAGGCAGGGACGCAGCGGTAGAGAGTTACCAAGCATGTGCGCTGGAATTAAAGGCGTGTGCTACATCACCTTGAACTCAGAGATCTGCCTGTCTCTGCTTCCCAGGCATTGGAACCAAAGGCGTATACTACCACGCCTTGAGGTCACAGAGGTCAATCTGCCTCTGCCGCCCAGGCATCAGGACTAAAGGCGTGTACCGCCACACCTTGGGGTCACAGAGGTCAATCTCTACCTTTGTTCCTTGAAGCAATGGAGAATGTGGTCCGGCCCTCCACAGTGGACACCTATCTGAATACTCCCGCTAAACTGGCTGGCACTGCCTGCCCGTCCTACAGGCACAAGCCTAGTCTGAGGTTACCTTCACATCAGATGTAAGGCTGGGCCCCTAGAAAGGCTTCGGTGTGCACTGGGAGGTTCCCGGGAGGCAGAAGCCATTAGCAAACTCATGAATCAGACTTCTGTTTTTAGTTCTTTTGTGAAACAGACTCATTCCCTGTGCCTAGACAGTTCTTCTTAAGTAGACAGGAGGGATGAATTTTAAAGACTCACACCTTTGGAAGTGCCAGCTCCCTGAAGAAGGAAGGCAAGAGGCTCACCTCCCTCTATAGACACTGTGGTGCTACTTCCAGTGACGGGCAGTTGTTATTTGACGTTTCCTCCCCCATTCCCGGGGCTCTGATTCATTTCAGCACAGACCGTATGCTTATTGTGTCTAAAATCAGACATCTGCAACGACCATAGAGGTCAGTCATTCACTCAATTCATCACTAACTGAGCAGCTACTATGTGGCCACAGTGGGTTCCAGTGGTGAAGCAGTTAACAGTGAATACATTCCATGCTAGCCAGGAATCTTTACCACACGACAAAAGAGACATTTACACACTAGGCATAATAAAGATACTAAATGGAATGCTATGTAAGGGATAAACGTAGAAGACGGAACTTCAAAGAGTGTCCTTCTGTAATAGTCAATTTTAATTGTCAATTTAACTGGACTTACAATCACTGATGTAAGTGTCTTCTGGCCATGTCTGCGAGAGGATATTTGCAGAATTTAACTGAGGAGAGATCTGCCTGGAATGTGGACAGCACCATCCGATTGGTGGGGTCCCAGATAAAATAAAAAAGACAAGTCTAGCTGAACACTGGCATTCATTTCTCTTTCTTTTTCCTGATTGCAGACACAGTGTAACTAGCTTCCATTCCTGCGGCCTGGCCTTGCCAGCCATCATGTGAGACAAAAAGGCACTTTTCCTTTCTTCTGTTACTTTTTGGTCAGGAATTTTGTCACAGTGATAACAAAGATAACAAAGAAACAAAGGAATGTTTCTTGTAAGAATTCAAAGCAGAAAATGGATCCATCAGGTTAATCAGCAGAGAAAGAACATTCTAGACAGACAAGTGTGGAAAAACCAGATAGGTTTTGGGCACTGAAGACTCACATAGACCAAGCAAGGAGAAAAGCAAAGGAGATTGAAGAAGAAACAAGGGTAAGATCTTGCAAAATGAAGTGTTTAGGTTCTGTGAAGTTAATGATGGTTCCCATGTGGAGGAGATGTGGCTTACACAAAGGATGAAATGAGAAAGAACCCAAGGGGCTGCCTTAGTTACTGCTCTATTACATGGTGATGCAACATGACCAAGACAGCTTCTAAAACAACACATTGAATTAGGGGCTCGTTTATGGTGTCAGAGGATGGGTCCACAGTCGTCAGGTCGGGGAGTATGGAAATAGCAGGCAGGCGTGGCACTGGAGCAGTAACTGAGCGCCTACATCCGATCCTCAGACAGGAGAGAGAGAGAGAGAGAGAGAAAGAGAGAGAGAGAGAGAGGCCAACATGGACTTTTGACAACTCAAAGCGCATCCCCAGTGACATATCTCTTCCAAAAAGGTCACACAACCTAATCCTTCCCAAACGGTTCCACCAACTGGAGACCAAGCATTCGAACATAGGAGCCTATGGGGACCATTCTCATCTAAACCACCACAGGGACAAAAAAAAAAAAAAATGAGAAGATCAGGAAATGAATGGTATTCTGAAGAAAAGGTGATGGTAAATCGGATGAGGGTAAGTAGAGTAGGTAGAGATTCTAGAAAGGGTGGCTTTAGGAGATGAAGCATTGGGAACTGACTACCCATGAGAAATAAGCAAGGAACATGCCAGGGCTTAGCCGGAGTAGCAAGGTGGATCATCGGTCCAGTACGTTAAGGCAGGGAAATTGAGGGATTGAGCCCGCTAAGTAAAGCAAGATCGTGTATTTAGAAATGTTAAGTTGGGAAAGCAAAGAAAACATGCAAATGGAGTCATTGTGGGGATAGTGGCTGATTTGGGTCTGACACAGATGAGAAATATATGATTTATGAATTTGGAAATTTACAAATATCTAAATCTATGGCACTAAAGTCTTTTAGAAGATAGAACATAGACACACCTGGAGGTATGTGCCAAACACACATCTAACATGGCACATAACTGATAATCATTGACAGTCTGCTGAGGTTTTGTTTTTGTTTATTGAGAAAGGGTTTGATGTCACCCAGGCTGGCCTTGAACTCATCGCAACCAAGGGTGACGATGAACTCCTGATCCCCCCCACAGTCACCTCCCAAGAGCTAGGATTGTGAGTGTGAGGAGCCACCCCTGGCTTTTTTCTTCTTCTGTTTTTGTTGTTTTAAGACAGGACCTCACTACATATCCTAAACTGGCTATGAACTCAGTATGTAGAAAACCCACACTGGTCTTGTACTAGAATCACAACTGTGCCTTATTTGTTGTCTTAGCTTGGCCACACACCATAAAACACGTTGATCTGGGTAGACAAGCGACAGCTCTGTTCTATTTTTTACTTTATTTTGACCTGTCTGCGTATGCATGCAAACTTGAGTATCTGACTTTATCCTAGCCCTAAGATCCCTGCAGTTCCCCATAGGGGACATCTGGGCGCTGCTGCAGCTTCCCCCTTCCCTCTCCCAGTGGTCAGGGCCCTTGTTGCTGAGCCTTGCCTGGGCATGAAGACACGCCCTCCCTCAGAAGCATCTTCCATGCCTGAGCTTCCCACTGT